AGGGAAGCGGGAGGGGCCGGGCCCGGCCGGCTGCGCGGGAAAAGCGCTCGCTGGGACTGGGACCTGCCCGAGCCGCAAAGGGACGTGGCGGGGGAAATGTCCGCCCCCGGGCTCAGCTTAGGGATGGGCGCCTTAACGGCTAAGAGCGGAGGTTTGTGCTGGGGTCCTCCCGGGAGATTCCACCGCCTTCTCCCGTCTTCCCGCGGCGTTTCACAGAATGGCTCAGGTTGAAAGGGATCACAGTGAGTCATCTGGGCTAACCTTCCCGCTCAAGCGGTGTCGTCCCAGAGCACATGGCACAGGATTGCATCCAGACAGTTCCTGAATTTCTCAAGTGAGGGAGACCCCACAACCTCTGGCGACCCTGCTCCAGTCCGCGGTCATTCGCACAGTAAAGAATTTTTTTTCCTCTTATTTAGGTGGAAGTTCCTGTGCATCGGTTTCTGCCCGTTGCCTCTTGACCTGCTGCTTAGCACCACCGATTAGAGCCTGGCTCCGTCCTCCTGACATGCTCTGCCCCTGGGGATGCAATTTACCCACGCTGAAACTGCCCCAAGAGACAGCGTGAGGGGGATGTGCCCGCGACCCTGACGAGGAGAACGCGGCAGGAAAACCGGCACCGGGAGCTCCGCAGTGCTCCCCCAGGCTGCCACTAGCGATTGGGTTTGTATAAGCAAGAGGAAAAAGCATGTGCAGGTTTTTCATCGCTCAGTGTCGGGATACGGAAAGGATGTAGGGGGAAAAAAGCTTCAGCACGGCTTTTACTTCCTCAAAACATGAGGAAGAGTGATTCCTATTACAAAGTCAAAATATGTAAAATTTTTTTTATTCTACTGAAAGTGAAGTTGAGAAAAATCTATGGTTTCACATTTTATTTTTAGCATCAAATCTCCATGGGAAGGATAGAGGTGAGGAGTGCAGAAAATCACAAGCACCTTCCCTGTGTACAAGTCAATAAAAATGTTACTCAGAGGACAGAGCCCTGATGCACCACAGACCCCTTCTACAGGAAAAACAAAAAACATTTATCACAGCACACACCTGAAGAAAGCATGTGTGGAACTGGAGGAGGCATGAGTGGAAGCACTGGGGGCTCAAACAAGGGTGATTCTGAAAGCGTGCAGAAATGTAAACAGGCAGCAGCTACAGTGGAACAACTGTGAGAAGAAATGGTACTGGGGAATTTTGTGGTGCCTCATCTCTTGCTTCATACTGGCTTTTTCTGAACTTCATCAGGGTCTTCCCAGCTCTCCTACATGACTTAACTCCTCACTTTCTTTGTCCCATTATCTACAGGAGATAACCATTATCCAATACCCAGCACGGTGGAATTATTTTCCACATATTTCTTCTCATAAACTACACTCTTACTCTTCTGCCCCACAATTTTACATGCAGGGGGATGACTTGCAGTGATAGACAATTCCTATCCTAGAACATGCATGTTAAGTCACCTTGCAAGAACTGCCTCATTTGGTGTAAATGACTAGTGTGCTACAGCTGCTGACTAATTTTAGGATGATGGTCTGCTTCTACAATGGGCATGTCAAGATCTACATCAATGTAATTATCAAAACACAAAAAATCCTATTTTAGCCTGCATTTGTTACTAATTTTGTCCAGGAGCCAATTATCATGCTAGCTTTCAGCTTAAGGGGAAGGAAAGGAAGGCTAGCATAATGTGTTTCAATTATGGAAAGAGCTTGATTTACAGAGGGATGGAAACAGTGCCCATTGGTAACAGATATTCATTAATAACAATGCTGGCTTCTAAAATGGTACCTGTGCAGGGAATTGACTAAAATCATTCCTGTGTTGGTCATGTAGGAGCTGGACAAATTTAAAACAAGCCTCCCTCTTTTGTGCATGCTAAGAATATTAAGCTAAGCTGTAAATGCAATTTTCTCTTCCACATAAGTGTCAAATGCAGCTACACTACATTTGCTCTGTAAAGTCAAGTGCTACTTTATTTACTTATTTAGAACAATTTCCATATGGTGACATACCTTGAAAGAAACTCAAATACTTGTTGATGTAGTCAAACATCTATTGACATGAGTCAATGAAGTTAAATAAATGTCATTAAAAACGAGACAAAAGGCAAATATATATATATATATAGATATCTCCAGCAGAATGATAGTGATCATCACCATTTGATCAATCTTCCCTGTGAGTTATATCTGCAAGTTACTTTGAGGTAGCGCTAGAAAGAAGCTGTTGGTCCAAGAGCATCCCTGCAAAAAGAAACATTCACGGCTTAAGTACCATTTAAGCTTTCTGAACACTTTTCAGTCTTCACTGGTTTTTAGCCTGTTTCTTTCTCCCTGTTCACTGACTGCAGGATGATTAGCCCCTCAAACCATGGTACTAAAGCTTTTCTGTTCAGAGAAGTGGAAAACAAAAACGTTACTCTTCTTCAAGAAATAAGTGGGTTTTAGGTAAAGGCACTATCTATCACAGCTAGGTAAAAGAAGAGTTTATAAAATCAATACAAGATATTCTTCAAAAAAAACCCTTCATCAGACTTAAACCCCACAACATTTCAGCTGGGTAAAACAGACAAAACACAACAAAAGTGAGCTAGCGTGGCGTTGAAAACATTGCTCCCAATACTTTTTGTTTTATGTTTCCACTGCAATCAGCTCTTGGTAGAACTGAGAGTAGACATCTGTATGATGAGCATGTTGAGGTCTTTGTGTAAGCTTGCTAATGCAGGCAGTAGTTGGACCATCACTGGAAGTTTCCTCAGTTACAAGTCTCAGTAATGAATGCCAGCAGATCTGATGAGCTCACTTTTTCCCAAATTTGTGCTTACACCAATACAGAGAAGTTTTTTTAGTGTGCCTTTACAGTAAAGAATGTGTGCTGCACACAGTACCTTGATCCCACACATATGCACTAACTGGTAAGCAGTATAGACTAGAAAGCATCAGGAGACAAAAACCAGAGAGCTATTTAAAACAGTATCACACGGGCTGCAACCAGCAGACTCCCTTCTTCACCTCACTTTTCTTCTCTGCTAACTAAAAAGAATATATTCCCCAGCATTTCTCAAGTTCACAGAACTAATGGCCCAAACAACCTCTTTCACTGCTTTTCATAAACAGTATTTTCACTATACAGGTACTTTACAGGCCAGAATAGAAGGTGCATGTCTAAAAACAATCTCTAATGCAGTGTGGAGACCTTGCTAATATTTCAAATCTGCATAAATATGGTGAATACAGACTCTGACTTTTGAAGTTTATGTGCTGTGGTGATACAGTACTGATGTAAGTGAAATCACACAACTACATGGGCTCCTCATTACATAATTCACAAATGGATCAACCTCCCAAAACTTAAAAATCAGTGGATGATCTACAGGATTTCTACCAAGCCAACACGTGTCTTTAGCATCTGGTAACACAATAAAAGGTTTCCACAAAGTACTTGCGGTAGCTTAAGTATGGTGTTAGGTAACACTATGCAAAGCAGGATATGCACTTCAAAGCAGGAAGCTTCCAGGTCTGTACCTGGGTTATAATCTTCCAGCTTGTGATGACGATTCTTGCTAGATACAAAATCCTTTGCCTAGCAACTGGTTAGTACTACCAAGCTTAGGCACCACAGCTGTGCGCTACAACTCAAGTGACATCAAATCCAGCACAGTTTTGAAAGTTTAACACCCCCACATCCAAATTCAAGGGGCCTGCACCTATTATCTTGAGTTTCCACCCTTCTGCAATCATGTGAAACTATTCTATACAGGCACACAAGTAATTCCCTTTCCCATCTAGATTCTCTTTGTTTCATTTATCCCACTTTCTGTCACATTCCCATTAATAATCTCCCTACTCTGCCCCTCCAAAGACTGACCAGTTCACACTAGGGAAACATTCACCAACAAAATCCCAGTATTCAGCCACTTTGCAACTAGTTCTCTCAATGTAGGGAAGCAGTTTCTAAGACTGTGATAGTAATCTCCCTGCCTGAATGAGGGGGTTTTGTTTTCTCTCCTTCTACATATGCAATGCACAAAATCCAGGAAGAATGAAGTTCCTGTGTCACACCGAAAGACATTTCGAGTTTAGAGCATCTGTATTTCATGGGTGGGACTTACAAAAACACAGTCCCAGCTGAAATTAAACTGTGTAAAGAGAGAGGTTCTGGGGAGCAGGTAGAAGGGACCTGCTATGCAAAGTCATCACTCTGCAAGGCAGTACTAGTTTCACATTTAAGAACAGCATATAGGTTATGGTTATGACCACCACTTTAATGCAACTAAGTCATTAAAGCAAAAAAAACCTAAAAAAACCTGCCATCCTAGCAATTATGGTTTAGACTGCCCTCAAACACACATGGCAGTATCAAAATGCCTTGAGTAGCTTTCAGATGTATTAGCTATATGATAATTTCTACCACCTTCTCTTCAAAAAAGTGTTATTTTGTTTCCAGCCTGAAATTTACTTTGTGTACATTAAAGTAGTAACAGGAGCTTAAGCTGTCCCTAGGACTGGAAAATACTTTCAGGTAAGAACAGTTTAGAGGAAGCCACTCAGAAGTCGCTGTCTTAAAGCAGAACTTTCTTCAATCTCACCTAACCTCTTTTGACTTCAACTGAGAACTGCCATCCTATGAAAATGTTATAAAACTCATCACTATGAAACATCTAAGCATGAAGACTGAACAAATAACAGAGGTTTAGGATAGCATACAACTTAGTTGAAGAGGATACTGGGATACTTTAATTCCTGACAGGTTTTCCTTCCTCCTTTAAACCACAGTGTTTTCTCCAAGGATTTTTATGTGTAAGAACAGGTATTATATTACACCAGTTTCTCTGCTATAAAGGGTCAGATAAGAAGACAAACAAGAAGGGCAAAAACAAAATTATCACTAGCTATCATCCTTAAGTCTTTGGAATGTTTGCAGCTACAGCAGCTCAAAGTTTACCCTTCTGTATGTTAAAACTGTACAGCATTAAAGCTCTTAAGAGCTTTTAAGATTGCCTAGGTATCTTGAAGTACATGAGAGTTAGTTCTTACTAGTGCTGATGCCCATACCAAAGACAGGTGAAATACCCCTACTGCCTCCAGCTAAATTTCACAAGCCAGAAGAGAAGGTGTTTCGCATATGTCAGTAAAATCCCTTGCTGGCCAGTTTGCAGAAACAAAATTTTATTTACACAGGCAAGTCTATCTTTAGACCCCATTGAACTCTTTACATTTCTAGAATATTTACATGATTTCAAGATGCTCCAAGTGATGAACAAAACAAAACAAATTACAGAAACTGCCAAAAGCATAGCAAAAAAACCCCAACCTATCATTGTGCTTTAAAACTTATGATCTAGAGTAATATAGAAGAAATGTAATTTTAGCACCTTGGTTATAACGGTCATGCTATATAAGACACTTAAATAGCAGAGGGGATGTCAGAAGTGACCGTATCCAGAGGTTGCCAGTGACAATTCATGAGGGCATCATAGAGTTCTTCACTTGTCTCCATAAATTGTCTGTTCATTTCATCAACATCCAAGTACAGCTGTGGATCTGAAAATAAAAGCCTGGTAAGTAAAAGTGTCAGGACTTGGGAGACAGGCACACAGAGACCTGAAGCCTAATAAAACATACTTTAGGTAAATTTAATGCTTTAACAAACTTAATACATCTAGTGGAATGTTTATTCACCTAGAATTTTAACGAAGCTAAAAAGTCCAGCTTCTTTTGGAATTAGCATATTCGAATGCTAGGACTATACAGGTACTTCCACATGAAGCAGAGATTTAGGGGCTAATTAAAATTTTTGGACACTATTACAAGATGTCTCTACTAATGAGCTTAACATACAATAATCTTAGCAGAATCAATACAATGATACAGCAACTTCTCCAACAGACCATTCTGGAAAGAGAATGAAGGCAAAGTTACAAGAAGCCTACTGCAAAACATTGTTGACAATGTCCCATTCTACTTGGCATGGTGTACACTACTGGCTTTAAAATCCTACCTCATCTTACCTACAGCCCAGTCTTTATCCAATAATCACTGGCTTATATTGTTAAAGGGCAGAACTATGGCTAAATTCAAGCTGCAGTGATAGAATTATCATTACCTTCAGTTATTAGGTCATCATTGATTTCAGTCATAGCTGAAGCTTCCTAAAAAAAAAAATAAAAAAATCAGTCAGTTTCAGAAAGCATCACAAATCCACAATAATTTAATGCTCCCAAACATTCCCCCCCTTCTACAGCTATAAAATAAGTAGGAGCAAGTGATATTTGTTGGTTTCTTGTGGGATGTGTGTTGCTTTTTTAATGCTTTGGTTTTAGTCTTTTTGTTTAGTTAGGTTTTTTTAAAAAAAACATTGTATAGTTCCACTTCAAAGGCACTTTTCAAAGTTGTAATTGATCAACTGACTGACTTAGACATGATCACCTTACAACAATTCTTTATTTTGCTTTAAGCAAAGTACATCAGAAAAACAGGGTGAAACACTACAAAATCTGCTGTCAGAACTGTTATTTATGCAGTAATATTTGTTCACGTATGTCAAATATCTAATTCTACAGATGCACTCAAGCACTTAAATCCAAAATGCTGAACATAACCTTCACGCTTGCATAATAACTGATTGCATAATTTCAGTTTTAGTACTTTCTTGCGCTGATTTACGCAATCCATATGACTTGTTAGTTGTCCTTTTTTTTGTAATTAACTGTGTAGTATCTTTACCTCAAAAACAGCTGGAGCCATAACAGCATCTCCTAAAGAGCAGTCTCCAACAGCTTGCATGCTATCATAGGGAGTATAGGAGCTGTAGTTGTAGTCAGCGTAGGGATCGTAATTCCACTGTGAATAGTAGTTCTGATAATCTTGGTAATAATCATTATAGTTGTATGACTGGTACCGCTGGAATTCTGCTTTCAGTCTGAAACGTGAGAAGGTATATATAGTTAAGAGTTTGAAAACAACTGTAAAACCAGTTTTGAAGTTAAACAACTTCACACACTCCAAATTTATGAGGAAGTTTTTCCAAATAGTTGCCTAAGTTTTCTGTCACAGCACAATACCTCATGTTTATAAGGAGAGCAAATGCTCACCTTCACCAATGGGAAAAGTAATTATTTCTATGGATTAACCAAAGTTACATTTATCTATATTCAGTTTTGGTATCTGTTTAAGCAAGCCACTGATAAAAAAATGCTTCATTAAGATCAAAGACCTTTACCAAACACTGCTGTTTTAACGACACTTTAAACATTTAATTAGTCCTTCCATCTTTTGTTCTGTTAATATGAAATCATGTTATTTCCAGAAACAAGGGGCAAAATCAGATTATCTGTTTCAGAGCAGCACCTGACACTGCCTGTCAATTTACCATGTCTACCTTCACCTTCTCAAGTTTTGGTCCATGAACAGTTGCCAAAGCTTAGCTGTCAGGTGAAGTCAGCACTGCCATTATCCAGAATGAAGCCAAAGCAGCAGAAAAATTACAAAATTCATTAGTTATGAAGACCAAAGGGCCAGGTGATTAGTTTTCACTGCTTTCCCTTTCCTGAGCAGATTTTTCCCAGGGACAACTTCAAGTTGACTAATGACAAGTACCACTGAACAAGAACAGTCTGTTCTAAAACAGAGATATTCTACATGGAAAACATTATGATAAATCAGCTGCACACTGCAAGAAATCCCCTCTGCTTAGACATTTCCTCACTGATTACTTACAAGCAGACATCCTGTGTTTGCAGTGTCCAATGTCTCTACCTCCAACTTCCTACAGAAAATTTAGATTGGGGCTTTTTGCCAAGAACTCGAACGGAAGGAGCTCAGAAATGGTTTCCATTGTAAGTGTTGCCACTGGCAATGAATAGATCACACGGACACAGCTCGAGGTGTGGTGAAAGGAAGAGAAATTTTCTTCCCAGGATTTATAGGTTTCTGACAACAGCCAGGGACTGGATGGTCAGGGTAACACTTTCACACTGCACTGGCCATGAGAGATGTCCATCACAAGACATGTAACAGAAAGAATGTATACCTATCTCTATATTTACAGTTACTGTCCTGGGAAAGTCTTAGAAAACTACGTCAGCAAGCTCAGAAGATGAGTTTTCAGGGCAACAGTAAGTGACTTAATGACAAACTACTCTGATGGCTGGATTTTTGGATGCTGTGAGAGCATAGTACTCAGCCAATCAGAAACAGGTGTAGATTAGTGGTCTGTATTTCAATACCCACATTACATTTTTGCTTCATTACTGTGAAGCTACACCTACAGTCTAATAAATAGTTACTTTATTGTCTTACTACTGTAGTAAACAAATTACTTCATAATGTCTCAGTCTTCTGCTTCCAACTTCTCTCCTACATCCATCTCTGTAGGAAATAAAAAACTAAAAATACTGCTGACATCCTTCTGGATAGCAGAAGTGAGGAAAACTTTCTTTGGGACCTCATTTTAAAAGCAAGTTAGTCAAAGCAAATCTGGACTCTCTTGGGTAAGGGCATTTCTGTTCCAAAGCAATGAGGCAGTATCAGCAAAATTATCCAGGGAAGATAAGCAGGAGCTGTTATTTTTAGCCTCCTAACACACAGGCTAACCTCATGAACATATACTGAAATAGTTCCATTGAAAGTTCTATTTTTGTCTGTATTCTGGATCAAAGTTTATCAAATTTGATATCAAGTCTCTACCTGGATTGTCTTAAATGACTGAGAGAACTGAGATGGCAGAAAAAAAAAAAATCCCTCTCAAACCAAATCAACTTAAAATTTCCTGCTGCCCTAATGACTTGAGAAGCAAAGAGCAGTATTCTAAACAAACTGTTCAATCAACATCTCCTTTGGCTTCTTCTCTATATTCTGCATTTTTCCACTACAGAGTTCCTTCCTCTGCCTACTTTAAAAACTAACAATGTGCTACCTTGTCTAAGCCAAGGGGAAAGGCCTAGAAAAAAAGTTTCCTAGCATAAAAATGAACACTTGATGTCCCTTCTACCTTCTTCAGGCCCAAACATGAAATACTTAGAAATGCATTCAGCTTCGCTACTGTAAGCATTAAGGATGGTCACAACAGCAGGTAAACCCAATTTATATAATCTGGCTAAACTTAAGAGTTGGATTTCCCCAGCAATCCTCAAAGAGGTTGATAGATCCAGACAGGCAAAACATAGTGGTTCTGTGGTTTTTGACTTTGCATTGTGTACAGCCATTATAGCAAGGGCCACAGTCTTCACAAAGGCAAAGCTAAAAAATCTGATTATTTAGAATTACTGTATCAATGCACAACTCATTTGTTACCTTTTAGAAATTCCTATGCTCAGCCGGATTCGTTTTCCCCCCAGACCTGGTGCATTCTGGCAGTCTTGCAGTGCCCTCATCTGATCACCTTGCTCACCAAATCTGACAAAGGCATACCCTCTACAATTTTCAAAAGGGAGAAAACAAATTCTAGTATTCATAACAGTAACAAAGCCAATTAATTCAATTTCTGTCCTCATGAAAACAGAAAATAGTAGCTATTATAGCTTCTATTGCCTATGTAACCTCTCAACATGTGCACATGCACAGAAGATGCTTTAACAAAATTAAAAACTTGGGCCAGAAGCAAAAAGCTTTGTTGACAGCATTAAGATGCAACTTGCTGAAAGCCAGAGAAACAATACATGTTAACAGCAATCTGTGTAAGTAACCAGATTCTCCATTTTTGCACTTACAGCAGTTAATGTATCAGTATTAACCCATTCCTACTGCTCTACAGCTCTAACATTCTTTCTAAATTTGCTCTCTCTTACTTCCTCTTTTTTTTTTTTTGAAGTTTCTTGAATTAGTCCATTACAGCCAGTGTTTTCTGAACACCCAACTCGCTCATCCCTGTTTCACTCTCCAACTGGTCACTGTAACATCTATTGGGCATTATTCACTGATATCAGAAGTTCCATCTCCCAGCCACCTATGATTTGCTAGGCCTTACACTTCTCTTCCACACATATAAATTATTTTGTCCTTGGTACTGCACATGACAAGTGGACACACTGCTGTAGGTAAGCACAGATGTCCATGCACAGCTCTCCCTTCTCCCACCATCTAACTGCTTTCATGCAGATACACATTTGGCTGAATTGAAGCTTAACATATTAACAGCTAAAAACACCCATAAAGTTTTAGAAACACAAGGATCTATGTTGTTAAACAATAATGCCACAGGCTAATCTCTCTCCCTGCCTCTGAAGAAAATTCAAAACCAGTTCAAATTCAAGTTCTTACATGTTACTTACAGCAACAAGCATACTGACAGCATTAACACATTTTCACAAGCATTACCTGGAATATCCCAGCAGGTCTGTTGCTATTTTGCAGTCAATACATGAGGGATACCTCTTTAGGAAATAGTCATAGAGCTGAAAATCATCTACTTCTGGAGTCAGCTCCCCAACAAATATTGAATAATCCGGTCTTTAAAGAGATAAGAGAACCACCATTAAGTTTGAGAATAACACCATTCATTTCAGTATTAAAGCCACTAACATACAAGCAAGTAGTTATTATTGCACAAATAAGGAAGCAAAATATGAAGAATATTAACTGCAAAACTCTGCTGAGCAGTGTACAGAACTGTAATGCCATCAATCTAGCAAGATCTCAGCTTCTCAGAGTCTGTTTACCACTTTTGCAAGCATTTCAACAAAGATTCATATTCATTAAAGAATCTTTTTAAAAGGTGGTTTTAGGAAGACTATTTGTTGTCCTGAAGGGCATGACACCCAAAAATACCAAGAAAAAAATATTAAGTTACAGCTAGAATTCAAAAAGAGCTAAGATTAATTTGACATCACATCTCAAGCGATTATGAGAGACAAACTAAGAAAAAATATCTTCATTATTCAAATGGCAATACAATTCCATTAGCAATACTCAGTGTACGGGCACCAGGTGTGCCATTTCAGGATTTTTAAAGTAATTTATGGCATTCATTAGTCATTAGCAATTTAAAACAGATAAAGGGTCAGAGCTGCTCCTTTCCAAAGGTCTTTACCTGGTTGTGTTAGTACTACTAGGGACAAACTCTATTCTTCCCGGTTTTATTTTGTTCTTTTTCTTCCGCTTCTTCTGTGGTGTTCTCCACCAGCTGTAGGCCTGGAGACATTCTCTTTTTTTTGCCATCAAGTCCTGTAGGGAGAAAAAAAATCGCCTTTATAGTATTTAGCCTCATTTACATTCCTCCCTCCCACTCCCCATCACCACAGGTGATTTCCCCATATTCACCTTGCCCTTGAAAGAAGCCTGGGGTCCCATTTCTCCCTCCGCCTCCCATGAGGGAAAGCAGCCTCTGGGGAAAACGCCTGGCAAAAATAACAGAGCCAAAGGATTGTATGAACAGCCATATTCCCCTGACTTGTCAAGCTGGCTAAAGGATTGACAGCTTCCTCTGGGAATTAGGGACAAACCAGACAGCCCTTTGATGCCGGCCAATCCTAAGTGTTAATTAGCTTCAGGACTGGACTGTGTTCCGCTTGAGCTCCAGGATGCAAAAACCCCTGCTGCAGCACAGTCTGCGTGATGAAGAGGCAGGGAAATTGTCACTCTTGCCTAGAAGGGATCTCCGCTGTCCCTATCTCCCCTCACCTAGGAATTCTTCTTCTGTGAGATGCCTCTCCTCACTACCCAGCAGCGAGTCACTCTCCCAGGCCAGGAACAATAAGAGGCCAATTAATGGAATTTAAGGAGAAAGCAGACCAGGAACAGGCACTAGCTTGGCTGAGGGAAAACTCAAATACAGATGCAAGGCCAGGAAGAGAGAGGCATACAAAGTGCCTCTCAAGGAAGAATAATAAAAAAATTTAAAAAAAATAAAAAAGGAAAAAATGAAAAAAAATCCAAAAAACGCAAAAAACCTAAAACCCCAAAAACCACAGTTCAAAAAGGAAGTGAGTGGGGCAACTACACAAAAGAGGAGGGGAAACAGCCTTATTAACACCAGTTGCCTCCCTCAATTAAGATTCTGAAGAACAAGGACCTCCAAAAATATGAGTGATGTTCCACAACATTTACTTACGCAAGCTTTTATGTTCTTCCTCTATAGCATCTCCACAAGTATCTTATATAGAGAGTGTATGTATGCGCAAGGTCCTTCAGAAGAACTCGCGCTCAAATAACGCAAACTCCAAAGCTTAATGTAATGCTCCCCCAACCTGCTTGAGTTGACACAATTAAGTGTCATGAGGACAGCCACCAATTACCACATTGCCGGAAGAAACCATAGGACTAGAAGAACACCCAACTCAGAGCAAGCTAGCTATGTCAGCTTTACATTTATTACGAATTCTGAGTATGGTTCTGGAATCCATTTAGGCACTGCAAGCCTGTATTTCTGACTAAATGATCTTACCTGGCTTGCCATGGTTCAAATTGTCTTGTCTTTCTTCAACAGTATGACTGCACAGGTTCAATTTATCACACTCCTTCAGCTGAAAAAATGCGAGGGAGAAAAACAAGATGAAGGATTTTATCCTGATTAATTACTCCCAAATATTTTCACCCCACCATATGATTTAATGTTATTAATTCAGAACTTAATTTTTTGTCACTGCTAAAAGAATGGGGATAAAAAGGATATATGGCATATGGGATTATGATTAGATGTAATCTTCACTGTCCTAAACTGTAATAGACCACAAAGTTTTCCCAATGTCCAAAGCACTAGTAAATTCTAGAGATCTTTTAAGTCCTCTATACCTGACTCTTAAGTCTGAAATACCTACATTTAATAACCCAGTAATCCAAAAGAGTATAACAGTTAAAAGAGGCAAAAGATACAGGCTTCAGTATGTTTTGTACAACCTCCCCTGGTTTCTTCCCCTTTAAGGCAAATTTAAATTTACTTGTACCACAAACTTTGCAGCTAAAAACAAGCAGCAGTACAGTGGTACTTCCAATATGCTAAAGAATACAAGAAATAAAAGCAGGATGAGGACACAGTACAAGCAAGCATGATCTTTCTTGGCACCTTTTCTCCTCCCTCTCTTGCCTGTTCCACATGCACATTTTAATCATTACTGTCAAAACCAAAAACAGAGAAGAACAATTTACTGCTTTACATTTACATCACCGAAACAGTGGACACACTTTCCTGAAAAGATATGTACCTTTGTTGATCCAAATATCCATTCTTTAGGCTTTTTACCCTAGTCATCCAACAAATATAAATCAGAGCAAAAACCAATTTCATTTGCAAAATATTCTGCATTTACTTTCACACACAGGTGTTCTTCACCCCTACTGATTTTTTACATTTGGTGTAAATCCTGTGTAGATACTTGACTGCTGAAGTTCTAGTCCTCTTTTCCACACAAGAATTTATGTAATGTTTTACGTCTTGGCTGATTAAATCCATAGCCACATAATGCAATAAACACAGAGCACCTACAATGCCTTAAAGGCTTGCCTGCAGAGCGGTGCAGTTCAGAGCACTATCTCTGAAAATGGATTAGGCTAACTTGACGCAGGATAGCCATAAACCATAATTAGAGCATCCATGCATGCTGCTGTTCAGAGTAACTATGGACTTCATCCCACAGCCACTGTGAGGCCAAGAAAAGAGTCAAGTAGAAACAAGCCCTTAAAATACAGGCCTAAAATACTGGTATGGTTAGCATATGCTAAACTAAGCACGTGCCAACTGATAATGTTCGTTACAAAGAATTAACGGCACCAACTTCTTCCTGTTGAGGGCGGTCATTATTAATGCAAATATCAGTGTTCCTCTAACATTAGTTTTTAATAAAAGAAACCATAAACTCCTCCATGCTCTCAACACCGAAATACTGATTTTTGAATTCACAGCTGTGCAGTAACTTTTTTTTCAACTTACCACTTTTCACTTGTGCAGACCTAATGGAAGACGGCAAAGCAGAGCACTCTTGTTGCAAGAGGCTATCAGGAGGCAAGTGATACAACTGCTTCTCTGTTGGTTATCACCAACTTTTATGCAACACCGGTTTTGTGTGCCTCTCTGTCCAATATTGACCTTTTCACTAGAAAACAAAAACATTTTAAAAGCAGTTAAAACAGCACATATCAATATAGTACATTTTTTACGTTTGCTTTAACTATATCCACAGTGACAGCTAGCTTTGATTTAAGCAGTGGGGCAGATTCAGTCTCCAGAATTCAAACACATCCTTAATTGGATTACACACACATCATAGCAGCTTTTCATTTTATTCCACTTTTTTGCATTATTGCGTTCATACGGGCAAGAAGGTGGGCGAAGCTATCCACAGCCTGATTTGCCCGTGCAAACACCGCTCACCCAGGCAGCGGGCAATCCGCCCCCCTTCCTTCGGCACTAATTTCGCTCACACCAGGCGCTGGGGCAGGGTACGGGGATGAGGGAGCCTCCCAGAGCTCTTGGGGCCGGCTCGGTGACCCCGGCCGAGCCCAGNGTTTAAAATGAGTACCTGAAAGTCTTTGAAGAAGAGTTAAACACAGATAGTGTTACAAATCTAACTTCAGTCCTATCTAAACTTTACTGAACTGGTGGCTGCCAATATGCATCTGTCTCATACTGATGTATTTGAAGGATCGTAGTGAAGTGAGTGAGGGAAGTGAATAAATTAATTTCTGACCTCTTTTTGGCTGGATCCTCCTACTTCGAGCATCCTGAAGGAGGCTGTAAAATTTTGGGAAGCGGGATTCCCCTTCAGAATGACCATACCCCTAGCAGACTATTTTCTTATCACAGAAAATGGCAGAGATTGTGATTGGCTTATATTTATATATGACAAATATGTGAAATTACAAAGGTGTTAAGGCCTGGGGAGATTTAAGCAAGAAGTAATGCTGTTTCTTCCATCTCAGAATTGGAGCTTTCCTTCCCCCTGATTTGAGAAGTCGTGGAGAGTTACTGCTTAGTCTGTGTTTAAGAGCCACCACTGACTACAGCATTTTTTCCCTGAAGCAGTGACATAGCATCTGCCCCTTTGACATGTGGAAATCAGAAATGGACAGAGAAGGCCCAGCATTTCTCTCCACTTCAGCTTTATTTACAGGCAGTCCACTCCCACACCTACTGGCCAGGCCAGAAGCTGTGCATGGTTAAGCCTTGATAAACTGCTGACACAGCAGGCTTAAGAAGTGTGAGGTCAAATGTTTTCCCAAATGAGAGAGACAGATACATTTCTGTAGCTCAGTAGCATATGGTGTCTTTTCCTGTTCATGCTTTAAAGTTTTTGGAGAAGATGGGTTCTACTGATGGTTGAAACAAAATTCCATTATGAGGTGTGCTTATTTTGAAGACTGGCTACTAATTGGAGTTTGGAGCATTTTAATACTGAAATATTTTAGTTTTATTGTGTGTTAGACTATAGCCCCAGTTGCTTACATATCTCATTACATGAGATTAATAGATATCAGTGACAATATTTTGGCTGGTGCTAGGGGGGAAGGATGTCATTGCTAGGACTGAGGATGAACTGGATCCTACAGGACCAGTCATAACAGAAGCAACAGTAGGGGATAAAAGAGTTGTTGAAAGAATATGTGGGTAGCTGTTACCACTGGGTAGCAAATGCATACTAAGGATAAGGATTTCATCAGTTTATGTTTTCCTTACAGTTTTGAAGCATTCAGTCTTTATTTGAGACACTGTGTTCCAGGGACTGTCCTTTCTATCTTAGTGAATCAATGAAACTACCATGCTCCTGTCTCTGTGTCAAGTGGTCAGGGACAATTAACTCTCACCTTAGTAATGCTTAGCACACTTCCCTTTTGAAGGCCATTGAAAACATAAATTAGTTAATTCTCAGAACATTACTACAAGTTAGACATGATGCTACATGTTAGATATGAACACTACAAGTTAGACAAATGCTCTCTCCTTTTTTTGAGAACTGGGGGAATTATATGCACAAGTTTAATGATTTGCACGTGTGGGGAAGGCATGAGTTCTGGAGAAGTGTATGGTAAATTATTTCCAGTCTCAAAAAGAGAACATTTTGAAAAACAAATTCGGGAAGTGTGTGCAGAAGAACATGGAGTGCACTGTCTGCTAGAACTTGGTATAGAATACTTACTCTTTACAAACTGAGGCATTTTAAAATTTACACAATTTATTGACTCTCTTAGTCTGTCAGATGAAGTAACCCTGTTTCTCTTTTTACTTGATGTTGCTACTTCTCTCTGTTCTGTTAGTATTTAATTATGTTTCTCCCACACATGGCATCTCTGCTGACTGGGCTGTACAATCTCTCATTTAAGTTACATCTGGAGCACTGACTGCCATCATGGGAACAAGATTTTACCACTCCAGAAAATTCATGCCTGCAGGGCTAATTGCTGGTGTCAGGTACAATAACTTTTTTTAACCTACTTTGTGTGATTTCTTATTTGCTTAATTAAAATGAGATGGAGTGAATCATATTTTGTGTACTATTTTTGTACCCATGTATCATTTACATGAAGTATTTGAAAATGAATTGACAAATTGTTGTTATTATTGTTAAATGATATGGTTTTTCCCCTTTTACAGTTTGCTCATGGTTGGAAGATTAGCACTGAAGATGTTGGAAAAGCCCCAGGAAAAGTAACTGTTAATTTTATATCTTAATATTTGGAAAAGGAAACCTGATAATGAAGTTGCATGAATGCAGAAGTGAGAAGATGGAAAAATTCTCTGCAGCAAGACTTTTTTTATCTTTTTTTGTAAGGGGGAATAGAATGATGGGACAGACAGTTTATATACAAGATAGAGCTGTTTGTGTATAGAGAGAAATGGGTCCTGGGTTTGATTTTTCTGGGCATGTTTCAATGTATTCCAACACTTCCATGTTTTTGTATTCCANTGGAAGGGACTTTAAGAGGCCATTTAGTTCCAACCCCGTGCCATAGCCATGGACATATTCCACGAGAGCAGCGTGTTCAGGGCCCCACCCAGCCCAGTCTCAAACACCTCCAGGAAGTGTGTGAGGGAAATACCCCATCCATCCCTCCGCCCGCCCCGGCACTCACCGTCCCGCCCGTCCGCAGCCGCGGTTCCGGCCGCGCCGGGGCTCTTAAAGCGCGTTGCGGGGGCGGGGCGGCCTCTCCCGCGGCCTTTGCCGCCGGGCTCGGCCCCCTGGCTGCCCCGAAGCGTTCTCGGGAGTGGCGGAACCTGCGGGCAGCCACGTGGGTGCGGGAGGCCGCGGTGCGAGCGAGCTCCTCCCGACGCGGCGCGGAGGATGGATGGGACGTGGGCTGGGGCCAGGTGGAAGGCGTGTCTCCGGCCTGCCGTGATGAAAAATGAGAGAATCCTTCTCTCTTGCTCTTGGGATTTGTCTCTGTGCAGAGACAACTTCGTCAGAGCTTACGGCAAGGGGCGGTTTGCACGCTTAAATCCTTTGGCGTAATCTCCTAACAGCACATTAACTCAGTAAGATCTCATGCTTACAGCTAAGTATAATTTCTCCCCCTGTTCTGGTGAGGCCACACCTCGAGTGCTGTGTTCAGTTCTGGGCCCCTCAGTTCAGAAAAGACATTGAGATGCTGGAGCAGGTCCAAAGAAAGGCAGTGGAGCTGCTGAAGGGTCTGGAGCACAAATCCAATCAGGAGTGACTGAGGGAGCTGCGGGTTTTTAGTCTGGAGAAAAGGAGGCTCAGGTGAACCTTATCATTCTCTACAATTGCCTGAAACGTATCCAGATGAGGGTTGGCTTCTTCTCTCAGGCAGCCAGTGACAGGGGCAGGAGGACATGGCCTCATACTGTGCCAGCAGACATTTATGTTGAACGTTAGGAAGAATTTCTTCAGAGAAAGGGTGATTAGACATTGAAATGGGCTGCTGAGGTGGGTGGTGGAGTCACCATCCCTGGAGGTGTTGAAGGAGAGACTGGATGTGGCACTCAGTGCCATGCTCTGATTGACATGGTGATGTTCCGTCATGGTTTGGACGTGATGATCCCAGAGGTCTTTTCCAGCCTATTTGATTTGGTGATTCTGATTTTTAAACATATACTTTTCCAGCTTTTGCTTTTAAAAATAAAATTACAGGACAATGAAGTGGAAGCTTTTTATGGTAAGCTTGAGAAAGACCTGTTTGTTTCACATTTGCAGTCCTGGACAGTCACCCCTGATTTTACACATCATGCCCACTCTGCCTCGTTGTCAGCAGTAGCAGTGAATAACAGATATGTGGTCACTGGAAGCAGAGATGAGACAATCCAAATCTATGACATGAAAAAGAAGATAGAACATGGGGCACTGCTACAGCACAATGGTAATGGAGCACTTCTTTGTTAAAAAACATTAATGATAAAAAATTGTAGCTGAAAAACTGGCCTTTGCCAGAAGAAGAAAACTGATTTTTTTTTTTCTAATAAGTAGTGTAGTACTGTAAGTACTAATAAGTACTGTAGTAGTGGTGGTGTTGCAGCCATGATGGTGTGATGATACAAACAAGGTAAGATTTTGAGCATAAAAGGTAAAAAAAATATTTTGGTATTAGCTCAAAAATATTGTTGCTTCTTTAAATTATTTGTAGTATTAAATAATTAAGAAGTTATGACTCACAAATGGCTTATGTGCTATTTTTCTTCTATCAGGACAGTTTATCTAGACCATGCCTACTCCCAGTTACCGTCTTTCGTAGTGTTACTGTCCTGTCAAAGGTGTGCATGAGCCACACAAAAGAGAGAGTTTGTGTGTGAGAGCAGGTTGTTGCTGCCAGAGGAGTTAACCTGGTACATTTCTCTTTTTATGTGCTGCCTGAATTCCAATTGCAAAGTACATGATAGAGTCACAGAACAGTTTGGGTTGGAGAGGATCTTTTAAAGGTCGTCTAGTCCAACCCCACTGCAGTGAGCAGGGACATCTTCAACCACATCAGGTTATGTAGAAGCCCCATCTAATTTTGCCTTGAATATTTCCACAGATAGAGTGTCAAACACGTGTCTGGGCAACTGTTTCAGTGTATCACTGCTGTCCTTGTAAAAACCCTTTTTTCTTACATCTAATCTAAACTGACCCTCTTTAGTCTAAAATCATTATCCTTTGTCCTATTCACAACAGGCCCTGCTAAAAGATTTTTCCTTATCTTTCTTATAAGCACCCTTCAACTACTGGAAGGCCACAATGAAGTCTTCCTGCAGCCTCCTCCCAGCTGAACAATTCCAGTTCTTTCAGCCTTTCCTCACAGGAGAGATATTCCATCTCCCTGATCATATTCATGGCCCTTCTCTGAACTAGCTTCAACAGGTCCACATCATTCTTATGCTGGGGACCTGTTGGAGCTGGATGCAGTGTTCCAGGTAGGGTCTCAGAACAGCAGAGGCTGTTCAGAGGGGCAGAATCCCCTTCCTCAACCTGCTGCCCATGCTGCCTTTGATGCAGCCCAGGACACGTTTGGCCTTGTGGGCTGGAAGCACACATTGCTGGCTCATGTCCAGTCTCTCATCCCTCAGCAAGCCTAAGTCCCTCTCAGCAGAACTGCCTTCAATCATCCCCCAGCCTGTGCTGATACCAGCTTGCACTGTGCTTTGTGGAACTCTGAGGTTCTCATGGCCCACTACTTGAACTTGTTCATATCCCTCTGGATGGCATCCCATCCCTCACCACTCACACAGCTTGGTGTCATCTGCAAACTTGCTGAGGGTGCACTTTTTGTCTATATCATTGGTACAGTCATCTGTTCTTGGCTGTCCAAATAAATCTTCAGGTCATTTGTAGCTCAGTGTTGATTAACCAAAAAGATCCAGGATCTAGACTGAGCATGGTAGCTGTATTTAACTCATGTAAGATATATCTGGTGATTACAGGGAAGCAGCATGTACAGTAAATTCAGCTGTGTGTCAGGTGCAGGCCTTTGATATGGGAGCATTCCTATCACTAATAGAAGCTCTCTGCCATCTCTGCCACAGCATTTGGGTACTGCTGTGACAGAGAACAGACTAGATGGAGTTCAGATGTGTGTGGGTAAAGGGTGCCTGATAGAGCATATCAAATTATTGAACAGAGCAAGAAAATTTGAGGGCTTTTTTTAAGAACTACTTAGGAAATAATTTAGATTTTCCCAAGGTTAGGGTAGTAGCTGGCATGCCTTGTTGGAAGAAGCTTTTCTGTTAAGTTGTATGTTCTCTGTTAATTTGTGCAATAACTGTTCGGTGTGTACAACAATGTTAATTGTATTTCTAGGCACAATAACTTGTTTGGAGTTCTATGGGACTGCACATCTACTGAGTGGGGCTGAAGATGGACTCATTTGTATCTGGAACACAAAGAGATGGGAATGTCTGAAATCCATTAAGGCACATAAGTGAGTTTCTTAATCGTATTCATGTACATTTTCATGTCTATTTTCCTTGTAAATAATATATGTGACTAATGTTTTGTTTTTATCAGGGGACATGTGACATCTCTTTCTATTCATCCGTCTGGGAAATTAGCTTTGTCAGTTGGAACAGATAAAACATTAAGGTGAGTCAATACTGATGAAGGAATGCTGAGAATCATAATTCAGTAACTCTTAATAAGGTGTTATAAGCAACAATTCCGTGCTGGGACTAGGCCATACAACAGTGATAAAACATATTTGTTACCAAGTGGTTCAAAGATCCATTGGTTTGTCTTTTGAAGTTCTAAGTGCCAGCTGTTCAAACCTTATTATTGTGAGCTCTAACTCTTCACAAATCACTTGTAGATGTATAAATATGTTTGATTTTGGAACACAATTTGCCTAAACTTTTGCGAAGTGACAGGTTTTGTTTAGTGTGATTTTTCACCTGGAGTGTTTCCATGTTGCTATAGATATCTGTTTTATAGATATAAAATTTTAACAGCATAAATTGCTATTGACCTCCTCTTGGGCTCAGTATTGCAAATGGTGGTTTAGAAAATAAATAACACAAGTTCAACATCATAGCATGCAAGCAATATAGGAACTCATCATTTTCTCTTGCATTAGGAGGCCAGAAAAGTGCATAGAGAGGCTTAAAAGCTTCCTTTGGGTGCCTCATGTCAGCAGATTGGGTTTCAGTTTTGTTGTGCTGTTTTTAACCAGAATGCACATTACCTGTTGTTGTGTTTCAGAACTTGGAACCTTGTTGAAGGACGATCAGCCTTCATCAAAAACCTGAAGCAAAGTAAGTTTATCAATCTAAATCCACTAATTAAGTGCAATTTGACAGTTTTTTGTGTAAAGAAAAGTTGACTGAATTAATCAAGTCAGCTGATTGCCAACTTTAACAATGTCTTCTTACACGTGCAGGCAAGCATATGTAAGCTCATGTCCTTAATAATAGTCATTTAGCAAAAGGAAAACATAGTACCACTAAAGTAAATAATTTTCTTCTTTGAAATCTGAGGTCAGAGCATTTAAATAAGTGTTTTAGTTTGTTTTTCTTGATTCTGATAATCATAAATATACGCTTAAGAGCATAGCTGTTTATTCGGGTTTACTTGATTTTTCATTGAATATTTTTTTAGATCTAGGTAGAAAACAGTGTCTAGCAGCTTCTAAAGATTCTTACTTCTAAATTCTCTGTATCAATGTGTACAGATGCACACATAATTAAATGGTCCCCTGATGGTGAGAAGTATGTGACCGTGATTACAAACAAAGTAGATATCTACAGACTTGACACAGCTTCAATCAGTGGCACCATTACAACAGAGAAGAGGATTTCTTCACTTAGATTTATTACAGTAAGTACAAAAATGAGAGAAGTTGGAAAGTTAACTGGTTTGAAACACATGAAATTAATCACACTTGCATTTCTCTTTTCCCATTCCAAGGATTCTATCCTTGCCATAGCTGGAGATGATGAAATTATTAGGTTCTACAGCTGTGACTCTCAAAAATGCCTCTGTGAATTTAAAGCTCATGAAAACAGGTATTCTGTATTTGTTTACTATTGAAATTTTTATGGCAATGCTGAGTCCTCTCTAAAGTTCAATGGCTTGTAATGTTCAGCATATTTTGCTTTTGTTTTAGTATAGAAATTGAATTTATTTATATGTTAAATTCCAAACAGACTTGTTTGCTTTTTTGTATGAGCACAAGTACTGTGCTGTCCATGTATGTTACAAAAACAATAAGGTACAGAAGAAAAAATATTACTGTTCTAAATTTCTGTGTGTTTATGTTTAACCAGTCTTTACTGAATCTGATTCTTTAGAATGCTTAAAAAAAAAATCAGTTTCTTTCAGTTCAAACAGTAGGAATATGATCATGTATTCTGTTTTTGAATACCAAATATTTGTCCAAATGTTTCTTTGAATTCATCAAAACACAAAAGCATTATCAGTAATGGCACTGATGTGTCTTTAAAGTATTAAGGAGTTCTGAATTGAATCCTAATAAGCCTAGACAAGGCAAATGTTCCTAATATAAATGACAGTACTCAAAGCAGATCTAAGTTCCTACCTGTCACTTGTTTTTTTTTTGTTCAAACTGATTTTTTATACTGTTGCCTGTTAATCTTCAAATTCTCTCAGCTTACTGAAGTGAACTGTGATGCTATAAGGTAAAAATGTTTTCCTTTTCACAGAATAAAAGATATTTATAGTTTTGAAAGAGAAGGACAGCATGTTATTGTTACTGCATCCAGTGACGGTTACATTAAAATGTGGAATCTGGATCTTGATAAGGTTGGTGTATTAGACTGCTTGTTACATTTAAGAAAATTAACAGAGAACCAGAATTGCAGACAGTTCTTTTGTAAGAGTTTATTTTAAATCACTGAGGAAATTTTACGTGAAATGTGGATAAGACAATCTACTTCCATGTTATGTTCAGTAGAGATGTATGTCTGTGCACATATATTTAGGCACTTGTATTTTTTTATCTTTGTTGATTTTAACAAAAAAACTATAAAATCTAATGATATTATGAGATCTCATCTCCACTTTACATAAAGTCACGTTTCCTATCAGACCTAGCCAGGCTTATGACTATCTAATCAGTTATGTATGTTATGATTATGTAAGGACGGTTGTCAATTTTTGTAATGTTGGTGACTGTTGCTACTCTTTTAAAAACACAAAGTCTGGTTTGGGCAGGGGAAGGTGGTTTTTCATGTCGGGGAGGAACTTATCCTTTAGAAAAATTAAAATACATGAATGTACTGTGTGCTTTTATTTCCTGTATTTTCAAACAGTTCTGAGTAGCACAGTTCAACAAAAAATCATGTCTGATCTTTAAAGTTTATTGTGTTTATTGTTTGCTCTTAAAATCAGAAGTAGATTTTTAAAATTTATTGCCCAGTTACAAAGGATCTACTATATTTTACAATAAGTATCTTGGATAGTTCATATAATTATTTCTCAACATATATACACTTCAAATCTGAATTTGCCTGTTTTTAACTTCACCCACTCTGATTATTTTATACTTGTAAGTGCAGGATTGATCTCCCTCTTACCTTTTCACCTTATATTTCTGTTCCCTTTGGACAGAATTGACAGAGTAATCAGGGAACTCTTTACCTTTCCATGTAACACTGTATTTATTTTGACCAAATTCCTTTCTCCTGCAGGCAAAGTTTTGCATAACTGTGTGGGCTGCTCTGTCCAGCTCTGAGGGGTAGAATATCCTAATACAGTAGTTTCCAGTGGGTTGATGGTGTTAACACTGCACATGTGTCTGTGACACTTTATCCCCTGATATCTCTAACAGAGTATTTGTATTCCAAGAGCTGAGTGATACAATTGCCTAACAACGAAAGTGGGCAGTAAGATGTCTTCTCACTTCAAATACTTCATTAAATTTAACCAGAAATAAAATAAGGTTTAAATAATCTTCTTTTATGTTTTCTTCAGGTTAAAGATGGGCCATCTTTACTGTGTGAAGTCAATACCAAAGCTAGGCTGACGTGTCTTGCAGTATGGCTTGACCAAGCTTCAGAAATGAAAAAAAACTCTGATAAAACTGCAACATCCTCTCAAGGTAACAGAACTTCGTATTTTGAATTGTTAATGTGAAATGGAATACACCAAGTTGGAGGTTTCTACTATATCCATTGGAAAATGTTCTGGTATTTTAAAGAAGTGGGGGTATGATACTGGCTAGTGATACAGATACACTTACCAATCTGATGGTGTCTCAAGCCCATATGTTTGTTGGAGAATGTATGAACTCTTTTCACTTTCATTAAAGTTTTCTTTGTGTTTACTGGAATATACTGAGGAACCCACTGTGAAGCTTTTGAGACAGATAAGAAAATAAACAGTTGGTAGAATTGCAAGTCTTGTTCTCCTATAAGCAAAATAAGGCCTGAGGCCACTGTAGCTGGGCAAACTTACAAAGTCTAGCTGAGATTTGTTTGGGTTTTCTGCTGTTGTTTTCCTGCATTGTAATCTATTTACATACTTGATCTTTATATATTTTAATTTTACAGGCAAAACTAGCATAAATGACACTTTACACTGTAAAATAAAGAGCTATTTAAAACCCTTTTTTAAAAATAAGATACAAATAAGTCCTGTGCCATTTAGACTACAAAGACTGGACATAAAGGTCAGTGTGAATAATTCCTTGTTTTTTTCAGAAACAGAAGATGAAAAATCATCAGTAGCCGTGATAAACAAAGATTTTTGGACTACTAAAAGGCTTAAAACAGCAAAAAGAAAGAGAAAAATTATTCCAGGGAAACAAAAGCTGAAAGCTCCAGTGCGGAAGAAGAAAAAGAAACAGAATAGCTTGGCATGAAGGCAACTACTTTCTCTCCTGTATCTACCTGCAAATGCTGGTGTTGCCCTAGTTTTTTTAAGAATGTAAACCCTAATATACCTCTGATCTGATGTGCTGTTTAAAAGTAATTCATGTTCCTACCCTAATAAACTTACAGATCATTCTGGGAACTTTCCCTAAGTGAACAAAGCAAAAATAAATTCATAATATGTAATGTTTATATTTTTAAATTAACAATACCATACTCTTTTTAACTGGCTCTGAAAAAGCCAACTAAAATAATAAAAACAGTTGCATTTGTCTCAGTTACATTTTTGTTTCACTTAAATACATATTAAAAACATATACACATTTTCAGTTTAGTGGTGACAATGTTACTGTTCATTTGACTCAAGGTATGGTCTGCCTTTGTCCTGCATTTCTTTTCCAGCTGTAAAAAAGAACATGTTAAAAATTACTTAAAATACGATAATAACATCCTATTCTTACACTCATGGAAAACAGCAATTTCTAGTTCTTGATGTGGACTTAGATATGGAGTTTATAAGCACAATGTTTGGCTTTTTTACTGTGTTCATACTGAATATATTTAAATTTTTTAAAAATCTTTGCACCCATGGTTCACATGACTGAAACATTTTGTTCAGAATATGATACATAATTTTAGGTGGAAGAGTTTATGTCAATAAGGTTTTACCTTTTCTTCCCCTTCCCACTGTATATTTTTTCAAGTCCTTGATCTAAGCCATGTTGTTAAAAAAGAATTATGTAACACTTGAAATTTTTGCCATCCCGGTAAAATGTCACCTATCTCTTTTGTTTGCTGATAAACAAAAACTAAATTCCTGACCTTCTCAGTCAGTGGGAACAGGAATTTATCCTATGCCTTATAGCAAATATACAGTGGGAAAAACAAAGTTGAGCCAGAGAGAACAAGGTAAAAAAACCTGAACTAAATGTTTCCTTTATTTTAAGGTGTAAGGCATGTTAATGTTGTTTTCTGCACTACTGGAGTACTCATTACTATTTCTGTTTTCAAAGAGTAATTGGAATTACTCTTTATTCTGATTCACTTCATCCATTTCTCATTATTTGTGCAGCAAGAGAAAAAGCAGAGAAAATCAGAAAAAAAGATGGAGGCAAATCTGGAGACAGGAACGCAGGCTGGTTTAGGGATATAAACCAGGATGTAACTCCAATTCAGCTCTGTGCTCTGACACTGAAACTAAATAAGCATCATCGGTGGTGTTACAGAATTGTTCAGTAGCAGTGGCAGTAGCAGAATTGTAGCAGTAGCAGTGTTACCTTGCAAGTGGGTGTCCATATTTACCTTCTGTAACTTCTGTTTTCTTTACTTAGATAAATCATCAGAGCCCCTTGTTTGGATATTCAATATAGTCGATTTATGCAAGTTCAGTTTAACTCAGCAATAAAGGGATGAAGTTTGAGCTCACACAGCTTTTAATTTTAATGATACCCTAAATGTCTGTGTTCACAAACACATGCAAATAATATAGCATGCTGTCCTATTGATACTGATATTCAAATGGTTTCTTGACTTGATAGAAAGGTGCCAAAACAGATTTTTAATTCATAAGCCTTCTATAGCAAATATAAGATGCAAAAAGTATAAGCTTAAATAAGGGAATTGTGTACAGTGATTTCACTTGTAAAGTGTTACATCTATTTGATATTGCTTAGCTTATGTCCTTGACAAAATGGCTGCCTCTACTAAACCAGTTTTTATTGTTTGAATTTTTAAATATATGAGCTTATGGACACAGTCATCATAATTGCAGATGCAGGTTTGCAGAAGCATTAGGAAAAAATCCAGTCTGCACATAATTTTAAGATTAAAAAGCAAAAATTCCATAGAATTTGGGTTCTAAAGTCTGGACTTAGAAGTAAATACTACACATTTGTAAAGATCCAAACCCCCTGTGTAATAACAAAGAATTACACATCTCATGAGACTCAGAACAATTTGTGGAGACAGAGAACAGTGCTTAGGGGAAAACCCGCAGTGCAGGGAGAGGAGATGTCAGCAGTGACACAGCCATCGCTATCAGGAGGGGTGGGCGTGCATGACACTGGGAGAATTGATGGAATCATAGCTGCAAGAAACAGCAGCTCAGGGAGCAGCATCTCAGCTGAGCCCCAGGTGAGTTCAACAGCTCCAGCAGCTGTGGATTTCTTCCAGTTTTCCTACTTCCCCTCTTGGGGAATCCCTGTGCTGGATCATAAAGCAGTTGCCAGTAAAGCTTTAACCTCATAACTATTGCACAGCTTGAACTGAAAAGGAAATCCCATCCAGTATAGCTTAGATCCCTTTTGGCTGTGGCACTTTGCACAGAGGGAGGAAATTCCTACTTAAACCACAAAGGAATTAAACTGCTCTCCCCTTTCTCACTATTAGGCTAATTCATAAAGATGGAAAAATTTTAAATGCAGCTACAGAAAACTGCATTTTGCAGAAAGTACAGGCCTCTCATGTTTTATTTGTTCTATTATGAAGAGGAATCAAACCCACTCAGTTTTGGGATCTGGCTGCAGGAGTACTTTTCCTTTCTATATGGTGAAAGGTCCATGGGAAAGAAATGCATGAACAATTGGAATAAAATCATGGAGGACCATTTACAAGAAGAAAATCAGTTTCAGCACTCGGAAAGGATAAAGAGTTTAGCTTTGTAGGCAGTTATAAACATCTCTACATTTTTCCGGATTAAAAAAAAATTCAAAACATTTTCTTTACAAGATGTTTTCCATCTCCCACTGTTTCATAACTTCTACACCAGAAGACTGCTTTTTCTGGTGCACTAGTTTGTAATTTGGAGGTCCTGGAAACCCTCTAAGTGTTCCATACAAGAGCTATATTGAAATTACTGATCAAAGCTAGAGGCAGCCTTTAAGCTGGCCAGAGTTGTAGCTCATGCCACACCAAATCCCAGCCCCAAATTCTCAGCTGTACCACGTAACCCCACTTCTGGATGCGGACACAGCTTCAGCTTTGCCCCTCCCTGAGCATGAGCACACAACCTGGTCTGTACTGAGTCATTTGCAGGCACCGGGGCTTGCTCGGGCATCCCCGACACCCGCCCCTCGCCGTGCCGGGGGATTCCCGGGAGCTCTGCAGGTGGCTGGAAAGACACCAGCGCCTCCTGCTCCGCAACCCCCGGCTGCGGGGAGCACCCCGCCCTGCCGCTTGCCTGGCTTTTTGCTCGGGTTTCGTGCTTGGGGCTTCTTCTTCCTTCCTCAGAAGAGCCGGAAAAGGGAAGCTTTGGGCGGTGCGTGGCTCCCTCGCCTCCCCTTCCGCCGCCCGCTCCGCCCCGGTTGCTGCGGGGCCGCTGCGCAGGTGAGAGCCGGCGGCGTCCCTGTGCCCCGGGGCTGCCTTCCCCACACAGCCGCCTTCATCTCCTGCGCTCGCCGCAGGGCTTAGGCTTTAGGCTGGCCTCGCTCGTGGAAAAGCCCGCCACGGCAAAATGCTTTGCTTTTTTTCTTTTTCTTTTCCCTCCCCTGAAAAAGGTTAAGAGGTGCTGATCTTCACCCCAATTTTGTCTTCCAGTTTTCGGCATGGCAGTGGACTGGCTCGGCTTTGGCTACGCCGCCCTGGTGACATCAGGAGGGATCATTGGCTATGCAAAAGCAGGTAGGGTGCCGAAAGGTGCTTCCATCTCCCTCCCCCTTACCCCCCACCCTCTCCTCTCTCTCCCCAATAACTTGGTGTAAGCTGGGCAGCTTTTTACGAAACCCTCCTATCTCGAAGTTGACCCATATGTAAATTTTATCGGCTTGTGCCATATGCTGATAACTTGCTGCTGTTGGGGTGTGGTGGATTTAGAGTTGAGCTGGTGCTTTGGGCTGATAAGGCCATAATCTGCCTTCTGGTGGATGCTGATATCTGCACTGTGCTCTTTGGGTGAACTGTCATAAGTTTGGTTCAGGAAGGCTTTTTCCCTGCTGTTCAAAATACAAGCATTCTTGTCTGACATAAATCACCACATTTCCTCCTTAAGAGATTTATTCCCGTTTTAATCTTTGATGATAACAGTATACTGCAAGCTGCAGAGAGCTTTCAGAACTATCTTTTCTGCAAGTAGAGCTGAACGGTGCAAATCAGTCCTTAAACTTGTTTCTCTTCTGGGCTCTGCATCATAAGCTTACTCTCTGACCTACTGCTTTCATTTCCTGGCCTCTTTCTGAGTTTGCCCTCCTCCAGACAGAGCTGTGGATTCATTTCTGCTGCAACACTGTCTCTTTCAGCTTTTAAAATCACTAAGCCATCTTTGTTTTTATGATAGGAAGGGGCATTGCTGAAGTCAGTGAGACTCTGACCAGTGCATTTGACTACGTACATGCTAGTGCCTATTCCATTCTGTTTTCCATTGGCTTGGATTTATCCTTTGGATTGTGAGTGGAGTTTAGGACAGAAGGGACAGTCTTGAGAATTTAAGTAAATAATTGCATCTGTATTTCTCCAAGGCCATTATGAAATGATAGGTGTATTTCTTGTCCGCTGGAACCCGTTTGGGAGGACATGGTTGTGCTTAGGCAAGGGAATTCAGGTCACAGGACTATTGAAGGGGAACAGAAACTCATATGATGACTGCTGGACAGAAAAAAACCCCAGCCATACAAAGGAGCCATTGTATCCTTACTAATATCTTGGAGAAACCAAGAGCAAGTGGAACGTCCATGCACAGAGCTGAATTGATCTTATCTGTTCTTTTAAAACCAGATCTATCTACCAGCACAGACAGGGGGCAGTAGTAGGTGCCTCTGGAAGAATATGAGAACATGGCAATCAAAGAGTGAGTGATTTACTGATTCATTGATGGATTTTTCTCTCTTCATTTAGCAAGTTCTCTGTGTCCCTGTGTTTTGAGATGTAGGAACTTCTTGAGCCAGAGGTGATGTGGTTGTCCTAGTAAGTGTATGTGTCATAGCTACTTAAACATTGCCTTGAGGTAAAATGCAAGGATATGATGGATGTTTCTTGTCTCCCAGGCTTGTGGAAAGTATTGTAGCTACCACAGATTTTTTTTTTTTTTTAAACTCATATTCTGTGCAAGGCAGCCACCTACTAGAGTGTGCACCTTTTCCTTGCACATGTACAAGACAGGTGCTTTCTGTCATCTTTGTCTCTTGCTTTTTATACCAAAAGCAGGATATAAATCAATATTACAGCAACCTTTTTGATGATTGAAAAATAATTACTTTCTGGAAGCAATATGCAGTCCTCCTTTAACATTGAGAGGAGATCTTTATCAACTTACCTTTTCAATATCAAGTCTTTGAAAGGTGACCTCAGAAATTGAATGTATAAAGAACCACCTTCAGTAGCATTAAGTCCTTAATTCTCCATTAGCCTTATGGAGGACATTCACTACTCACAATAATCATGCTACTTCATTACTTGATATATAGGTCTGGTATCCTTTATTTTGTGGTAGTTTGGGATTATCATTCACACTGAGGACTTAATTCAAAGTTTTGGTGCATTCAGGGAATCTTCTTCCAAAGTCTGCAGTTACCTTTGGATCAAGTCTCAGGTCTACTTAGGAGATACAACCTCTCTTGTTCAGCTCAGCCCTGCTCCTTGGGAATTCTTTGAATGCCCTCCTGCCCAATTCCACACACATGTCCTTTTTTGCTGATCTTAAATCCTTACAATTTAGTCCTTCTACTTTACTGCCTCTCAAGGAATTTTCATAATACTGTTTTGAGACAACATGCTTCAGCTTGTGCAAGGAAAACACCAATTCTTTTGTTTTTCTAACTGTTCTGTCAACCATGGATGTATTAATGGCTTTGCTTTTAGAGAACTAAATACTAATTCTGTATGTATCCTGTGCAGGAGTAATTGAAGTGTTTCTTGGTCCTGATCAGCATGGTCTCAATATCTTAATCCTTTCTCTAATCTTCTTTATGACAATGAATGATAAATGCCCTTTTTTTAAATTTATTTTGATAATTTTTGGTGTTTTACAAAACAGGTAAGCTTCTGACCAAGTTAATCTTTAAGTTTCTAATAAATGTATTATCTTCTATTTATTCAGGCAGTGTTCCATCACTAGCTGCTGGCCTTTTCTTTGGAAGTTTGGCTGGACTGGGTGCTTATCAGATCTCACAGAATCCAAATAACATTTGGGTTTCTCTGAGTAAGTAATTTAAAATTTTATTTAGAAAAATATTATGTTTACCCTATATGTTTAAAATGAGTACCTGAAAGTCTTTGAAGAAGAGTTAAACACAGATAGTGTTACAAATCTAACTTCAGTCCTATCTAAACTTTACTGAGCTGGTGGCTGCCAATATGCACCTGTCTCATACTGATGTATTTGAAGGATCGTAGTGAAGTAAGTGAGGGAAGTGAATAAATTCATTTCTGACCTCTTTTTGGCTGGATCCTCCTACTTCGAGCATCTTGAAGGAGGCTGTAAAATTTTGGGAAGCGGGATTCCCCTTCAGAATGACCCTAGCAGACTATTTTCTTATCACAGAAAATGGCAGAGATTGTGATTGGCTTATATTTATATATGACAAATATGTGAAATTACAAAGGTGTTAAGGCCTGGGGAGATTTAAGCAAGAAGTAATGCTGTTTCTTCCATCTCAGAATTGGAGCTTTCCTTCCCCCTGATTTGAGAAGTCGTGGAGAGTTACTGCTTAGTCTGTGTTTAAGAGCCACCACTGACTACAGCTTTTTTTCCCTGAAGCAGTGACATAGCATCTGCCCCTTTGACATGTGGAAATCAGAAATGGACAGAGAAGGCCCAGCATTTCTCTCCACTTCAGCTTTATTTACAGGCAGTCCACTCCCACACCTACTGGCCAGGCCAGAAGCTGTGCATGGTTAAGCCTTGATAAACTGCTGACACAGCAAGCTTAAGAAGTGTGAGGTCAAATGTTTTCCCAAATGAGAGAGACAGATACATTTCTGTAGCTCAGTAGCATATGGTGTCTTTTCCTGTTCATGCTTTAAAGTTTTTGGAGAAGATGGGTTCTACTGATGGTTGAAACAAAATTCCATTATGAGGTGTGCTTATTTTGAAGACTGGCTACTAATTGGAGTTTGGAGCATTTTAATACTGAAATATTTTAGTTTTATTGTGTGTTAGACTATAGTCCCAGTTGCTTACATATCTCATTACATGAGATTAATAGATATCAGTGACAATATTTTGGCTGGTGCTAGGGAGGAAGGATGTCATTGCTAGGACTGAGGATGAACTGGATCCTACAGGACCAGTCATAACAGAAGCAACAGTAGGGGATAAAAGAGTTGTTGGAAGAATATGTTACCACTGTTGAAAGGTAGCTGTTACCACTGGGTAGCAAATGCATACTAAGGATAAGGATTTCATCAGTTTATGTTTTCCTTACAGTTTTGAAGCATTCAGTCTTTATTTGAGACACTGTGTTTCAGGGACTGTCCTTTCTATCTTAGTGAATCAATGAAACTACCATGCTCCTGTCTCTGTGTCAAGTGGTCAGGGACAATTAACTCTCACCTTAGTAATGCTTAGTACACTTCCCTTTTGAAGGCCATTGAAAACATAAATTAGTTAATTCTCGGAACATTACTACAAGTTAGACATGATGCTACATGTTAGATATGAACACTACAAGTTAGACAAATGCTCTCTCCTTTTTTTGAGAACTGGGGGAATTATATGCACAAGTTTAATGATTTGCACGTGTGGGGAAGGCATGAGTTCTGGAGAAGTGTATGGTAAATTATTTCCAGTCTCAAAAAGAGAACATTTTGAAAAACAAATTCGGGAAGTGTGTGCAGAAGAACATGGAGTGCACTGTCTGCTAGAACTTGGTATAGAATACTTACTCTTTACAAACTGAGGCATTTTAAAATTTACACAATTTATTGACTCTCTTAGTCTGTCAGATGAAGTAACCCTGTTTCTCTTTTTACTTGATGTTGCTACTTCTCTCTGTTCTGTTAGTATTTAATTATGTTTCTCCCACACATGGCATCTCTGCTGACTGGGCTGTACAATCTCTCATTTAAGTTACATCTGGAGCACTGACTGCCATCATGGGAACAAGATTTTACC